GATCTCAGGATCGTGAGATCAAGCCCCACGTGGGGCTCCGTGCTTGGCCGGAGTCTGCTTGAGATTCTCTATCCCTCTCCCTCTGCCCCTCCCACTCATGCTCTCTTTCTGTCTAGAATAAATCAATCTTCAAAAAAATAAAGGAAGTTCTTCAAGCAAAATGAACATGGTATCAGACAGAAAGTGGGTATACATGAAGGAATGTAACACCATAATGTAGAGCTTATAACATATAGAAGTTAACATGACAGCAGTGGTATGTAAGATGATCAGGGGAATGGACATATGCTGTCTGTGAGGGTCTCACATTATATGACTAGTATGTTATTTGAAGACAGACTCATAAGTTATTAAAGATACATATGGTAATGCCTAGAGCAATAATTTTTTTAAGTGGAAGTCTAGCTAATACTAGTGAAGGTAAAATGGAATTTTTTACATAATCCAAGAGAAGTCACAAGAAAATGCAAAGAACAAATGAGACTAATAGAGAACAAAAGACAAGACGGTAGATCTAAACCTTACCATATTGATAATTAGAATAAGCGCAAATGGTCTAACATTAAAAAGCAGACATTGTTGGACTGGATAGAAAAAAAAAAAAAAACAGGACCCAACTGCATGATAATTATATGATGCACTTTAAATATAAATATATGCATAGGTTAAAATTAAAAGGATGGAAGAAGACAACTAGGCAAAAGCATGCAAATACTAATCATGACAAAGCTGGAGGGACTGTGTTATTGTAAAAACACTTCAAAACAAGGAATATTACCAGAGATAAAGAAGACCATTTCAAGTGGCCAACAGACACATGAAAAAATGCTCAACATCACTTGGCATCAGGGAAATACAAATCAAAACCACAGTGAGATACCACGTCACACTGGTCGGAATAGCTAAAATTAACAAGTCAGGAAATAACAGATGTTGGCGAGGATGTAGAGAAAGGGGAACCCTCTTACACTGTTGATGGAAATGCAAACTGCTGCAGCCACTCCGGAAAAAAGTTAAAAATATAGCTACCCTACAACCCAGCAATTGCACTACAGGGTATTTATCCAAAGGAAACAAACATAGTGATTCAAAGGGGGCACATGCCCACCAGTGTTCATAGCAGCAATGTCCACAATAGCCAAACTATGGAAGGAGCTCAGATGTCCATCGACAGATGAATGGATAAAGAAGATGTGGTGTATATATACACAATGGAATATTACTCAGCCATCAGAAAGAATGAAATCTTACCATTTGCAACGACGTGGATGGAACTAGAGGGTGTTATGCTGAGTGAAATAAGTCAGTCAGAGAAAGAGAAATACCATATGATTTCACTTTTATGTGGAATTTAAGAAACAAAAACAGATGAACATAGGGGAAGGGAAGGAAAAATAAAATAAGAGGAAAATAGGGAGGCAAACCATAAGAGATGCTGAACTCTAGGAAACAAACCGAGGGTTGCTGGAGGGGTGGTGGGTGTGGGGAAGGGATAATTGGGTGATGGGCATTAAGGAGGGCATGTGATGTGATGAGCACTGGGTGTTATATACAACTGATGGATCACTAAATTCTACTTCTGAAATTAATTTTTAAAAAATTTCATAATGATAAGTCATTTCATTAGGAAGACCCAAGGAAACCTACATGTGTATGCATGTAATTGTAAAATTTCAAAATTCCTGATGCAAAAACTGATAGGATGAAATGATAAATAGAAAAATAAACAATTATAATTGGAGGTTCCATCACTCCATTCTCAGTAATTGGTAGGGTATGCAGACAGAAACTGAAGTTATAAAACCTGAGCAACACTACCAACCCAACTTAACCTACTTGACGTTTGTAGAGCACTCAATCCAACCACAGCAGAGTACACATTCTCATTAAATGCATATGAAACAAGCAGTAAGATAGGTTGGGTTCTGGACTGCAAAACGAGAGAGAGAGAGAGAGAGAGAGAGAGAGAGAGAGAGAGAGAGAGTGTGTGTGTGTGTGTGTGTGTGTGTGTGTGTGTGTGTGTGTGTGTGTGTGTTTAGAGCACAAGCAAGCCGGTGGTGGGGAAGGGCAAAAGGAAAGGAAGAGAATTTTAAGCAGGCTCCACAGTCAGCACAGATCCTGATGCAGGGCTCGATCTCAGGACCCTGAGATCGTGCCCTAAGCCAAAAATCAAGAGTCAGACACTTAACCTACTGAGCTACCCAGGTGCCTCTAGTCTCAGTATATTTAAAAGGATTATTATCCTACAGAGTATGTTCTCTGATACAGCAGAATTAAATTAGTAATCAGTAATAGAAATAGCTGGGAGCAGAGGCTGCTGGGAAGATGGCAGAGTAGGACGTCCCTGGGCTGACCTCTTGCCGCGTGGCCGCCTAGAGAGCACCCACGTCGGCATAAATCACCCAAAAAGCAGCCCGAAAACTGGCAGAACAGACTCCGCAGCCCGGCATAGACAAGAGGCCACAGCGAAGCAGATCCACCCCCTCTGATCGCTTTTGGCAAGATCCCGTCAAAGCGGTGCCACAAGCCTGGCAGTGTGTGCGTGGCCCAGACAAGGTCAGCACCGCTCCAGAGTGAGTCCTGCCCCAGGGAGAGGGGAAGATAACCAGACACCCATCTGACTGTGACCCCAGCAGTGGGCTGAGGGCAGGCAGCTGGTCTGACTGCAGGCCCCACCCACCAACAAAAGCTTCTCCGGGGATGACACAGGGACAGTGCCTGCAGTTTGGTGCTACTGCATCTCTGGCAAACACCTGGTCTGACTCGACTCAAGCCCGAGGCAGCCCCGGAGCAGCCCACTAACACCACGGGCACCAGACTCTGCCCACAACAGGCAGGGAGCCATCGCAGACAACAGGACTGAAGGCAGACACATCCCAGCCACAATGGCAGGACAGCCCCTGGAGCAACACACATAGGAGACACCCCCTGAAGCGCCAGGTTCTGGGGAATAGACATTGCACTGCAGGACCTCTTCTTCATAGAGCCACTACTTTCAAGTGCAGGAGACGTAGCTGACTTTCCTAACACAGAAAAACAGGCAACGCAAGAGACAGAATGAGGAGACAGAGGAATGTGTCCCAAATCAAAGGACAAAATCAGAGCAGGAGACCTAAGCGAAACGGAGATAAGTAATATGTCTGATAGCGAATTTAAAGCAACGCTCATAAAGATTCTCGCTGGAATTGAGGAAGGACTACAGGACTTCCTTGAGACCCTCCACCAAGAGCTAGGAGACGTAAAAAAGAACCAGTTGGAGCTATTGGATTTACTCAATGGAAATAAAAATAGACCATCTGGAATAAATAGCAAGCAAGAGGAAGTAGAAGAAAGGACCAGCCACCTGGAGGACAGAGTCATGGAAAGCAATCAAGCTGAGCAGATGAGAGGGGGGATAAATATGCAAAATGAAAATAGACCCAGGGAACTGAGCAACGCTGTCAGGCCTAACAGTCGCATGATAGGCATCCCAGAAGGAGAAGAGCGAGGAAAGGGGGCAGAAGATTTGTCTGAAGAAATAATAGCTGAAAACTTACTGAATCTGGGGAAGGAAAGAGAAATCCAGATCCAGGAGGCACAGAGAGCCCCCAACAAAACCAACCCAAAGAGGTGCACCAAGACACAAAGTAAATAAGACGGCCAAAAGTAGTGAGAAAGAGAGAATTTTAAAAGCAGCAAGAGAAAGGAAAGCAGGTACATACAAAGGAAACCCCATACGGCTATCAGTGGGTTTTTCAGCAGAAACTCTGCAGGCCAGAAGAAAGTGGCATGATAGATTCCAACTGCTAAAAGGAAAAAATCTACAGCCAAGAATACTCTATCCAGCAAGGCTTTCATTTAGAATAGAGGGAGAGATCAAGTTTCCCAGAAAAAAAAAAATTAAAAGCAAAACCAGCCACGTCCCTGTCACACACGATGCCATCGGCCTGTGGGTCCAAAATTCACAGTCCAGCCGCCCTCCTGCCCGAGTCAGCGTGCACGGCCTTCCACCTGCTAAATGCCAAGTTAACACGCCTTCACCTCAGATTGCCAAGGGCTCAAATTGACACTGTTCCCCTCAAATTTCAGCCCTTGTACCCAAGTTTGTGCACAAAAGTGGGAATTATTATAACAGCAGAATGAAGCAACCCAAACATCTATTTCTGTGGAATACAGAATGTATAAAAGGAGTGTGCTAGGCTGAGAACATCTCCAAAAAGCACATGAACAATACATACAGCATGATTCTGGTTAGTTAAAAAAAAAACAAAAACCTGGGAGGAATAAAACAAGATGAAACCAGAGAGGGAGACAAACCATAAGAGACTTCTTAAGCATAGGAGAGAAACAGGCTTGCTGGAGGGGCGGTGTGGGGGGGATGGGGTGACTGGGTGGTGGGCATGAAGGAGGGCACGTGATGGAATGAGCACGGGTGTTGTATGCACTGATGAATCACTGAACTCTAAAACTAGTAATACACTATATTGTTAATTCAACTTAAAATTTAAAAAAAGGAAACCTCCCCAAAAAAAGAAATAGCTGGAAAATCCCCAGGTATTTGGAGGCTAAACACATTTCTAAATAACCCATGAGCCAAAGCAATCAACAGGGAAACTTAAAAATATTTTTAACTGAATAAAAATGGAAACACAGCAACATTTGAAGGATGTAGATAAAGCCGTGCTTAGAGGGAAATGACTAGCATTATATGTTTATAGTAGAAAAAAACAAATCTAAAATTAACAATCAAAGCTTCTATCTTAAGATGCTAGGAAAAAAGAGCAAATTAAACCCAAAGCAAGTAGATGACACTTTGCCGTAGAAGATGTGGGGACGGCAAATAGGCACAAGAAAACATCATCCTCATCATTGTCGCTCACTGGGGAAATGAAGGCCATAATGAGACCCCACATAGCTATCAGGAACGGCTAGAAATGAAAAGAACTGAAAATACACAGTGTTGGCAGGATGTGGAGCAATTCTCATGCTTTGGTGGTAGGAATGTAAAGTGGTACAACCACTTCTGAAGTGGCTCAGCCGTTCCTCAAAACATTAACTATACCCTTACCATAGGACACTGTCATTCCCGTCTTAGGTATTTACCCAAGAGAATTGAAAACCTGTATCTACACAGACTTCTACACCACTGTTTATGGCAACTTTATTCATAACGGCCCCAAACTGGAAAAAGTACAAAATGTCCATCAGCCGACAAATGGATAAATTGGTTGTGGCATATCTGTAACCGCTAAATATTACTCAGCAATAAACATCAGCACAATATGGGGCGCCTGGCTGGCTCAGTCGGGGGAACATGTGGCTCCTGACCTCGGGGTCATGAGTTCCAGCCCCACAATGGGCATGGAGCTTACTTTAGAAAAATGAACAGGGGCGCCTGGGTGGCTCAAGTCAGTTAAGCGTCTGCCTTCGGCTCAGGTCATGATCCCGGGGTCCTGGGATCGAGTCCTGCATTGGGCTCCCTGCTCAGCAAGGAGCCTGCTTCTCCCTCTCCCTCTGCCTGCTGCTCCCCTGCTTGTACTCTGTCAAAGAAATAAATAAAATCTTTTAAAAATAATAGATAAAAAAGAATGAACAAAATGTTTTTATATGCAATATGGATGCATCTCAGAAACATTATGCTGGGCCAAAGAATTCTATATACTGTATGATTTGATTTACATGAAATTCTAGAAAAGTCGGATCTAGTCTTTAGTGACAGTAGACCTGTGGTTTCACGGGGCCAGGGGTGAGAGAGATCCACCGGGGAGGGACACTGAAGGACTTGTGGGCTGATGGTAACATTCTGTGTCTTGATTTTGGTGATGGTTTCACAGGGGTACATTTGTCAAAACTCAGAATCGCACATTTAGAATGGGTACGTTTTTACTGTATATAAATTATATCTAGATAGTTCATTTAAAAATCCAAATTTTAAAAACCACTTTTATATTATAATATGTACATGGTGACTCTTTGTGTCTACGTGAGCATATACATGCAGCAGAGGATCTGGAAGGTCTAACACCAGAAAATTGAGTTGAAACCAGAGGCTGCAGTTGTCACCTAGCAGTCGAATGAGCAACCCTAAAATGATGGGGACCTGGCTACTCCTGCTTTGAATATTCAAAGCCCTGAAGAAATCGTTCCTCGTTTGTAGACAGATGAGGGTAAAGGCAGAGAGTGCTTACAAGGTGCTGGCTCTGAGGACACACAGGAGATAAACAGGAACTGGTTTGGGACCAAAGTCCTGTGTTGCCTCCTCTTATCATCCTCAAGTCGCATTCCTGTCTTTCCCTATTTTAAGGGCCAGCTGACTTACCACCTTGAGAGAAGCAGTGTTATAGGGGCTTCTGCTGTTGGAATGTTTGTGTGTCATTCACTGGAGGTTATCTGTGTCCGCTCTCCTGTGGTGATGAACCTGACAGTTACGATCTCACAGACCTAGCTCTAGTGAAGTAAACCAGTTAGAAAGCCTGTTACAGACTCGCTTAAAGTTAAAACCGGAAGGTCATTACAACTCAAACAGGTTTTTTACCACCGGTAAATAAATTGACTAATGAATTAACTTTGAAACACAATGCAGAATCTTGATTATCTTTGTGAGTCAGAAGAAAAATACAAATAAAAGAAATTTTGTTTGGGGAGATTCAGAATTATATTAAACAGTTCTGTCATTGCACACATAGTAGATCAAGATGGTTTTGACGCTTATTAGATGCATTCAGACTTGTAAAGTTTTTAGCTCCTTGGCCCTACTGCTTTCCAACAGGAGGCCCCGTTTCTTACCACCCCCCCAGGTAGCCTCTCCCCAGTTGTTTTCAGACCATTCTTACACCTACTTCAACCCTCTTCCTCCGCCTTAGCCCACATTTTCTCTTTTTCCCTTTCCTTTCTTCCCCTCACCATCTCTCTCCCATTCTCCCGTTTGGCCCTCCTCCCTCCCCTCTCCCTTACCACAGTCCACAATTTAAGGTTGACCCTCAACAACATGGGGGTTAGGGAGACCAACCCCACATGCAGTTGAAAATCTGCATATAACTATCAATTCCCCCAAAACTTAACTACTAACAGCCAACTGTTGACCAGAAACCTTACCAATAACCTAAACAGTCCATTAACATCTATTTTGTATGTTATACATATTATATACTGTTTTCTTACAATAAAGTAAGCTAGAGAAAAAATGTTCTTAAAATCATGAGGAAGAAAAAAGAGATTTACAGTACTGTACCGCATTTAGTGAAAAACATCCATGTATAAGTGGACCCACACAGTTCAAGCTAGTGTTGTTCAAGGTCAGCTGGATATCTGATTGCCTGGAGGCTAACACACCCTCAGCAGCAGAGCTTCCTTTAACCCCCAGACTGCCTGATATTTAGTTTGAATTCCCAAGACTTGCGTGTGTCACATATTTATACTGGATTGTAAATGGCTCTGTGTTTGCAAGCATCCTGTTGACCTAAGAGAGCATAAGGCACCTCTAAGAATGCTGAGCAAGGATCCCTCTCCCGTGTATAATTTTCCCTAGTTCCAGGTGACGTAATGACTTAAGTGTTTATCTTAAGAGGGCAAATTTTGTCACATTGAAAGGAAATTATATTTGGTACCTTTGGGTCCTGAACTTTTTTTTTTAAGATTTTATTTATTTTGACAGAGCAAGCACACAAGCAGAGGGAGGGGTAGAGAGGGAGGGACAAGCGTTCATTGCTCCCGGCTGAGCAAGGAAGGAGCCTGATAATGGTACTTGATCCCAGGACCCTGGGATCATGACCTGAGCTGAAGGCAGACGCTTTACCGACTGAGCCACCCAGGTGTCCTAGGTCTTGAACTTTTATCAAAAGTGTATCATCTTATTTTACAGTTTTATAATTTTAGTTCATATTTAATTACCACCTAAGATGTAAACTAGTTTTGCTTAAAGGCTATGGAATTGATTATTGCAGTTAAATTTTACTTCTCAAACCTTGTGTTCACAGAAAGTTCAGCATCCTCCATCAAGTCACCTACAAACACTGCTTTGATCTCAAAAGAGACAACCCCAGTGGCACAGAATGCAGCCCAGGTATGGATCAGAAATGCTCTGTCAAAGGATATGCATTCTCAATTAAGTGGAAGTACCCATTTTACTTACACAGAAACATTTGGGTCACATTTCAGCTTGTACTTTTTAAAAATGTGGTATTATGTATCTACTTATTTATGGAATCAAAATAATTTGACTTTTCCAGAAACTCTGGAGGTTAAATATGTATATTTTTTTACCCAACAAAAGATTTTTAAGAGTAGTAGCCATTGTTGATGAAGGTGGAGGGAAATGGGTATTCTTGTATGCTCACACTTTTCATGAAAATCAGCAAAATGTTTGGGGACACAATTTGGAAATGAGATGGAATATCCAGAGTGTCTGGGACCTAATCCATTCTGGATTAGTGATATTCCAGAGTGTAGAAATCTTAATGCCAAAAGAAGCTTATGCTTAAAAAGACTGGATCCAGCCCCACATATTCCTGAAACATCCTTTTGTTCTTAAAATTTTGATAAATGGATCAAAGGACCGGAAGTTTATTTAGAACTGCAGTTGAGCACTTTAATCAAACCTGCCAGTCCAGCTTGCTAAACTTTATAAATGTCTTTCTAGGTTCTTGAGTCCTTTGAACACTTGCCACCTCTCCCAGAGCCACCACCACTACTACCTGAACTGGTAGACAAAATCCGAGACACACTTCCTCCCCAGAAGCCTGAGCTCAAAGTGAAACGGGTGCTGAGACCCAGGGGCATTGCCCTGACTTGGAACATCACCAAAATCAATCCCAAGTGCGCTCCCGTGGAAAGCTATCACCTCTTCCTCTGCCATGAGAACCCGAACAATAAGTTGATTTGGAAGAAAATTGGAGAAATTAAAGCTTTGCCACTCCCAATGGCCTGTACTTTATCTCAATTTTTAGCTTCCAACAAATACTATTTTACTGTCCGATCAAAAGACATTTTTGGGCGATATGGACCATTTTGTGACATAAAATCTATCCCTGGGTTTTCTGAAAATCTTACCTAAAAGTCTTGAGTAATTATATATTGTACAGCACTGTTTTCATATTTGAGTTGTTGGTTTACAATGTTCTCTAACACTGTTTGCCATCTTCAAGGGCCAGTTGAGATTGTGAACCCTTTGTACAGGGACAATTCTCTTCCCTATGTTGTCAGAGGCCTCTCATTTCCATGAATTTCTGATTTGCGTTCAGTAAGTACTTCCAGCGGCTATGTTCTACAGCCTACGCTCTGGCGGACCCGGGTCGCGGAGCAGTGCTGTGCACAGTACCGCTGCTGACTGGGGGTCTGCTGCGCACTTCCATCCAAAGCCCTAGTGTGGAAGCCGCCGCCCTTCCCTCTGCCAGCAATCCGCAGTTGGTGGTCGGTGCAGGTCAGTGAAAAATCCACTCTTTAGGAGGCAGGCTCATCCCAGGGGTGCATCTCACCAAGATCTTATGTAAATAAGTGTCTTATTCCGTTCCAAATCTAAGGGCTATTAATTTGCCCTCTCCCTTATTTTTCTTTTTTGGTTATAGTCACTTGGGGAAAGAGTCTGGAGGTTTTCCCTAAATCTGTTTGTATATTTAGATATATATAATAAAATTAAACATTGTGTGCTATGTACACAAAGCGTAGAGAATCTCTTATAAAAGCATTATCCAACCCACTGTTTCTGCTCCAGAAAATGGAGTTGTCTGCCTTAGGCTTTGGCTTTTATTGGTTGATTCTTTGGTGCTACTCTGTTCATCGCCCGGCTGCCGTGGTTCCTCGGAGGAGCCTTGAAGGACCCCGAGAGGGGAGTGCCGGGCACACCCCTGTCTGAGGGGCACTGAGGTGAAGCTGGGGCTCGCACAGGTCGCCCAAGAAGCTCAACGAGCGGGCGCGCTGGAGAAGCGTGAGTCGGCCCAGTGCGATGCTGAGAAAACAAACGTAACCGTTAGTGTGAAGAACAGTCTGCCCGCCAGGGGCGTTCTTTCCTGGTACGTGGTGTATGTTCAGTCCTAG